TGACCCTTGGATTCCTGGACAAGTAGTGACCACTAGGCAAGGAAATCAAAACAAACTAAGCAGAAAGACTTGAAGAAGGTTCATACAAGCATGGTAGATCAGGCTCAGATGCAAGTAGGCAATGGGGCTAATGGAAGAGCATAAAAATGTCATAGTCTTCAGGAAACATTGATCTGGATGATTCTATTAAAATGTCATGACTGGAAGATGTCTTTAAGACAATCAGAGGAAATCGGGTGAGGTCCGATATACTTCTCAAAGAAAATGTATGTCTCACCATGATCAAGAAAAACTTTCATAAATATTCTAAAATAAAACTAAAATCTTGAGTCTGTATAAAGTGGAAAATTCATGCAAAATTGAAAGTAAAACCAGTACACGTATGTGCCAGCAGTTATACCAAACGTACAGTATAGCCCAGTGGAGAGAGCTCCTTCCCTCAACAGTGTCTCCTTAGGAGTCCGTCTAAGGGTGTGGAGTTCATTTTGAGTAACGGTAGAGATATTTTTGTGCAAACAACTGGTGTGCCTTTGCATTAATCCAAACTTGCTTGAATTCCAGTGCCAATAGGATTCTGCTGACAAGTGAGTTGAGCCAAAGGAAACCAGCATACAAAATAAAGGAATGTTCCACTGCACAGCCAGCACCATCAGCATTGTTCGGTATTTGTACACGGTGCCAAAAGAGGTAAAGACCAGCAAACACATCAATAGAAGGGATTCTCCAACCCCTGTAGGGGGCTGGAAGACCTCTGCCTTATGTATTTTGATCCTGAAATAATCTTGGACACAGCAAATGCAACCAGTGATGCAGGCAAAGAGACCAGCAACTTTTTTTGCAGGTTTGGAAATTTTATACTATCCTCTTATTTGTATCACGCAGTGCCACATTTCATGGTTTTTAGAAACGAACAGGGTACTCTGAGGTCTAACCTAACCTGTTTGCAGCTGATATTCATGTAGAACTTTCTTCGCTTCGGTCTTGCTCCCGACATTGCAGGTACATATAGGGGACCTTGGCAAAAGCCTGTAGACTACAATTGGAATTCTAGTGGTGCCTTAGGGAATGGAGTTTTTGTGAGTTTTAAATGCAATTTTGATTCAACACAACACATAAACTAAACAAAGTTTGTGCCCTTTGACGGTGTGCTCCCAAGCTACCCAAATATGAATGAAACTAATACAGTAACAACCAACGATCAGAATATGACCAGCATGATGTTTATACACGACTGGGACTGATATCAGGCAAAATCAAAAGAAGGGTTGCAAATTTTAAGTATTTCTGGCAAAGAGCAGGATGATTTTGCTGGCAGAGGTCCTTAACCCAGCATTGAAAGGTTTATTTGTGGCTTTATACACTGTTATAGCAAGTTAAATTAAAAGCACAATATCATATCTTCTTATTAGACTCTCTCCTTCCCACTTCCCAAACTAAGCAAATGATTTTTAGCTGGATTATTCAGACACTTGAGAGATTACATTGCAAAGAAATTTATGACGTGGTAAAACAAAAGTTCAATTCCCTGTTTTGAAAAAGTTCCAAATGGTAGGTGCTACTCCACTGGCATGAAGGAAGATCTCCCTCCCCTTATCAAGAATTATAATGAAAATTTTCTATTTCATATTCTATTCTGTTACAAGCTCAGAAGACAAGACTCTTATTTCATAATTGCATACCAAAGAAATATAAAACTCATTACGGAGGAATCTTTCACACTGTGAATATCTCTCTATAAGAAAGGTAACATCAGTTCTCTTTTCTGAAAAATTTGGTAAAGAAGAGAAATTTTTCTGGTAATTGCAAGTTTCCTTAACATCCAATGGTAGAAAGGGTAGACAAAAGACTTCTCTGAAGGTAAATATTTTAAAAATTTGAAATAAAACATCATCCTTCGTGAACGAGTCCATAATACTCTGCAAATCACAGGGATATGGTGTTGGTGTAGGAGGTTGAGAATCCCATGCATGTGATTGTAGGCTGGGCTGAAAATCAAGGACAGAATTCAGGCTGGTGTAATTGCTGCTGACCCCAGTCTCCAGGTGCACCAATGTCACAGAAGACTAGCTAACCAAACTTCTCCGAATAAATTACTTAGCCCAGCTGATAAGAAGCAAGTAGAATATTCAGTTTCCAGAAACTACATTTACCTGGCAAATAAGTTATTACAGAGAACATGACAATGATAATGGAAAATAGCAAAGAAGGAAAGAGTACTCTTCATATTCTTTTTTAGGAACGCAACACGCGCGCACACACACGCACACAAATGTTTCTTAAAGAGGAAAAATTTAATTAAACATTAGCTTGTTTAAGAGAGTATGAGGACTGTCTTTGTTTTACGGATGTCCAACTGGGTGGTTTGGTATGAGGCAAAAATTACACGACGGGATTGTTGCAGAGCTACAAGGCGAACTGAAGAAACAAGATGCAGACTTGCTCGCTTGCAAGCGTTCCGGTTAGTATCTTCACCAGTTCACAGCTTTCCAAAGATTCAGCTTGCTTTCAGGTATTTAAGACAAAATTTTTATTTCCTGTTATTTCAATTTTCTGTGAGCTACAATAAAAATCTGGGGGGGGGGGGGGTCTCATTTTCATTTACCCATAGATCCTTCCATACTACCTGGACTCCACCGTAACTGAGAATAAACCTCTAATATTCATTTTGGTTAATATAAAACAAATCCAGTTTTAGTGTCCCAAGTTCCCAGGATTCCAAGACATAACTAACTGGTAGTCTTAAAGGGAACAAATCTCTAGAAACAGATGCATCTAGTAAGCAGCCTATTGTTAGTTTTTTTCCTCTGAAAAGTACTGCATTATAAGCACTGGAGGATCATATGGCCCAGGGGAATAAGGTCACAGCATCTACATCAGTGCATTTCTTAATTATTAACAATAATTTTATAATTTCATACCATTTCATGACCGTTTTCTCAAAGATGATGAGCTAATTATTCATTAGGTGCTTAGAATACGTAAGGAGGCACATGTACCTTGCCAATCTTTTGTCAGATGTAGTCTGTTGAGGAACTGGCACATTATATAGGTACATCTTCTGTAACATCAGTGTTTTCAGTTCTCTCGTTACTACATCAGAAGACCTGCTCTGGCTTTTGGGCTCACCTTAGATGTTCTGTTATTTATCTTCTTTAGTGATATTTTCAGTTGAGTTACCTGACTATGGAGGAATTTTCACATGTTAATTCATTTATGAATACTATTTCTGCATCACACTCTAAGAAACGTGCTGGAAATGATGAGCTCTGAAGCTTTAAGTAGTGCTTCAAAACCAAAACATTTGCAAAATCTATAAATATCAAATAGCTAATGTAGTATTTGTGGAGAAATAAATAAATTAGTTTTCCCAAAGATAATATGCATTGGTCTAATTACTGAGGAAGAAACGTAGGTTTGGATTTTTTTTTTTTCAAGTTGAAAAGGAAAGCAGCAATAGCTTTATATGTACAATTCAAATTTAAGTTTTAAAAAAAAGTTATAATTTAGCCTATACTTGTGCCTCTGAAATACCACAAGTTTGACTAAGTTAGTGGAAAATTTATCAGAATCACTTAGACAGGAAACTGCCATCGAACAGCTTCCTTATCCTCAGTAGTTCCAAAAGACAGAAACCCCAGTTAACCCTCACCCTCTTTAGCCACAAAGATTCATTGTCTTTAGCATTTCTCAGCCACTCTTACTCATCTGCCTTTATCCTTCAATCTGTCTTTAAATCCCATTTGATATCTCCACTCATTTTTACTGATACGTCTATTAAATACTACTACCAGGCAATTTATCTTTTTTTTTTCCACAGCACTTTTCAACTTTGATTTTGCTATTCTTCTTCAAGATACAAAATAGTTTTTCAGCTGAGGAACACATAACTGGAAGGGATCTACAGGACCTGTCCTGCAAGTAATGTCAAAGAACTACTTTGTTAATTCCTTTACGTACCAATCAAGTTGCATCTTACTCACCACTATTTCAACTGGAAGACTGCTGCTGAACTCCTCATCGCTAGAGATCTCCTTGTACTTTTCAGTCTAAAATTTATTCATCCTCAAGTGCATCCATTTGTTGTCTCAACACTGTCCTTGGTCTAGTCATAAATATAATTAAATATCCTGTTATCTTTTGCTTTGTTAAGGTCAACCAGTCTTTTTTTTTTTTAATCTTTACTCTTGTGGCATTTTCTCAGTGTCCGAATAGTAAACATTTTCTGCACTCCCAGTAATCCAGACTGGATTGCACTAGAACCTGTACAACACTATTAATAATCTTTCTATTTGGAAATAATCTCTTGGTATCTTGTACATTTTTTAAATATAGATATATACATACAACCCCCAAACCTGAAAATTTGTTTGTAAAATTGTTTTGTAAATTATCTCTTTCCTTAATAGAAAGCAGACTAGCAACAGATTTCGAAACACTAAGAATTACTAACAATTTTATGTCATGCATAAAAATTAATCCTTGTGTATATTTTCTTGGAACCTATTATTTTTGGGGTAAATTGGTAGATTTTTTTAGAGTACTTTAGATTGAAGGGTTCTATAAATAGGATAACCTGAATTATTTTACTTAGAAGGAACTACATTCAATGCCAAAATTATAAATGGCCATCTATAATACTCTAAGAAAAATATTTTTGGACGAGAAACACAGAAGGTAAAAGAACAGTGCTAGAGAGTAAATGTAAGAAATTGAGACACTGAAGTCCTGCTGAAACCACTGTCCACAGAACCGAGCAACACTGTGCCACTAAGCAGTTGTTACACTATATAACAAGTGTTTAAAAATTCAATAAAACTCCAGCGACTTTTTCCTTTGTAGGTTTAGTGGTTTGTTTTGGGGTGGGTTTTGTTTGTGGGTTTTTTTTGTTTGTTTGTTTGTTTTTTTTCAATCAAAGGCAATGTCTAGAAACATTATCAATACTAAAGAATCTGTTCATGGCATTGGTTTACAAAAGTTCCTAACAGACAGTGACTATTTTATTGTTGGATGTATCCTTTATTTTATTAATGATGAGAAGTAATCAATGAAATGCTAAAAAGAAACTCGTAAAGAAATCTAGTCTGAAATCTGAATCTGTTGTTTGAAGCGAGTTCAGTGGTCACGGTAACACCAGTCGAAGATTGACTCTTGCCCATTGTGAAACAGGCATGGCTCTTCTAAAAAGGTCACAAATTTTTCAAATATAGGCACCATGTTTTCAATTTTGCACATACAAAATATGTTCATGTCACTCAAATTACACAATGTGGCAGTGTTACAAGTCTGAACATTATCGTCAATTAATGGCAGAGAAAAGAGCCCAAAGCTCACGTAAGACTAATGACTGGGACAAATCCTGAAAAGAGACAAAAAGTATAAAACAACCGTTTTCCTGTTGTAGGTGGGTTTGTGTGTGCATGTGTGAGAGTGCATATAACAAAAAATGTTTTAAGAGTAGGTTCAGATAATAGCCCATCCATTTGTTCTCAGTTTCTTATCCAGTTCCATTGCTAAAGGCTTTGACTTTAACTGCATGTTAAAATGCAAATTCGAATCCCATATAAACCATTAGTTAGTGTGTTGACTGGTCCAAACCAATCAAAATTGAGAATTACTGCCGAATGTCTTCCTTTTAATCTACTCATCAGCCTCTGGGTATGTAGGATACTTGACTGTCTCAATTTTCTCCTTAACTTTATAGGACGGGTACAGGCCTGTTCTTCCTAATTTCCTGTTGATGCCTTTTGAATAACCATCCCAGTGGTTTCCGGCTACTCCAATTACGTCTCCAGGTTCCATAGGGATTTCCTCAGCAGTTCGTGGATGATGAGCATAAATAGCGACCTGGTTGTGGGCGTTCTGTCCCCCAAAGTAGTAGATATCATCCAAAGAATGGAAATACGCTGAGGCGTCTGGATGCAATGTCTGCATAATTTCATAGGCAACGCGACACACCTTAGAAACAAAACCAGAAGAGAAGTCACAAATCATTGTGTGTGCCAACAGCATGCCACAGAAATCAGAAGCCAATATGTAACAATTAAATTTCACAAGAGGATCAAGTTTTGAAATGTCTAGGTCAAAAAACAAACAAACAAACAAAAAAACCCAGAAACAACTAAACACAAAAAACCCTGAGTATTTACTAACAAGAAGCATACAATTTTGCAGCATTTTAATTAGTACTCCAGTGATCAGATTTGGTAAATAAATAAATAACAGCCTACTTTTCAGTAAAAATTGAACACATCTATATGAACACTTGACATCCTGCTTTTTAAAATGAATGGTATGTAGCCAAACAAATGTAAAAGCAATTTTGTTTTCCTTTTCTTCTACTACTAAAAACTCTATTTTGCTTCCCTTGCAACCTTTTAGAACTTAACGTTTTCAAAATTTATTCTGCAATAATGAGGTTTTACATTTACTTTTCTACAGGAAGCTCCCATTTTCACAACCCAGCAGTTCCAGAAGTCCAAGGCTTTCAAATGCCGTTAATATTAGAACAGTGATAGGATTATGCCTGTTGGCAACGTGGAAGACAACTAAATGAAACTGAATTCCAGTGCGACAACAATGATGTTGGTGAGCAGAAAGATGCACTTTGAAGTGTCATTGTATCACATGTTAGGAAGGGAACTTTCTTCCAACTGAAAACAGGTCCCCACATCTGTTGTCAGAAACACAAAAAGCTGCCACTGTATTAAACAAAGCTCTTTCCAACAATGGGGTAGAAAGTTCTTCTCTGCCAGGAGTCTGATCTGGCCACTGTGACCTTTCCCACTTCCAGCTGACATTCCTGTATCCTCTGATTCTGTGTAAGCTTCATAAACTAACAATGCAGCAGACTTCTTCAATGTGAAGAAGCATTTAAGCTGCTTTTTTGTAATTTTCAGTCTGTGTAAATATAGTAAAGCTTGATTTTACTTTACTTTTCTTTTCTCCCTCTGAAGACATGGTGAATAGAACTTTGATCAGTCAAAGCAGACATGTTTGTACCTTCCTAGCTTCTTTGAGAGAGGCATTTGCTTTACAAATGTAATAGATTTCCTTTTATCCCTCGCCATCTGATCTCTGAAATAACTTTTCAGAAGTAGCTTTCAGAAGATCAAGCTGAAGTTAATTATTTCAAAGTACCTGTTATACCCCATAATACAGAAATAAATTTGATTATCCAAACATTGGTAAGAGGTTATTTATTTTATAGCTTCTGTGATTGTTTTTGATGTTCCGTTCTCTGCATGTGTGAGCACCCCAGGAGGAGGATGCACACACACTCTGTAAAAGATTTGAAATCTTTTCAGTAGAAATGCTTTTTAGTGTCAGTGTCCTGCATACCTGGCACAGAACAGACACCACCACCTCGCTGCAATTGTTTCCTTTGCAGCACCAAACCTGGGTAACTAAACTGTGAACTGTGGCAAAGAATCCACATGAAGAATTACAGTTAAAGCCAACCTCCCATTTTTTATTCATAGATTCACTTGTTTTGCAGCCTGTATACTTCCACGTACAATACAAATAAAATACAAAGACTAGTAAGTCCTGGAAGGAAATGAGATCATGAAGAAAAATAAGTCAGGCAGACGGAGCTACCATTTCATCTAAATGAAGACTGAAGGGACAAAAAAGCTCTTTGTTTTAATGTGCAATCTCAATTCTGCTACCGTGGCTTTTCTATACATCTCAATTAATGCAGCGTTGCTGAAATACAGTGCCAAGTAGGTTGCTTCCCTTGACATCACTCATTGGGCCTAATTTCTTTAACAACAGTATCTTAATGAAATATTTATTTCATTCAATTCATTTAGTTTTGGTAGCATAAATAAGATTTAATATAGGCAATTTCCTAAAGCACCTGATTCTATTCACATATACCGTAGTTTTCTCTTAATACCTCTGCAATGAAGTTTGGATTCTTTTTGGCATGGAAAATGGAAAAAAAGTCAGTATACAATTGATTAATGTGAAAGTCCAAATTCACACTGGAAATAAATTAGACTACATTCTTATCCTTACTTTCTCTTCATACAGGTTGGACAAAAGATGGTCATTAACAGCCCGATTTTGCTTACCTTCAATGCCCAAGTAAACACCACGCTCTTTATTTCATTGATGAAAAGACAAGGATAGTGGTTCAAATGTTAGGGATCAGAGGATCAAATTTTAAACCCATAAAAGAGGAATATTTCTAAACAGTGGGAGAACTTGCAACAGACCTTAGAAAAGCCCAGAAGAGCAAAATCACAGAGATCCACCTTGTTGCATGACCAGCAAAACCGGTGCTGAATGAGTTTTGAGGAGTTTGAATTATGAAAGCACAAGAAATTGCCCAGAATAAATTAAGCAGATGGCTGGACCAAATTCATAGTCCCGGCTATTAAGAGTAACAGTCTAATACAAGATTTCCTAGACTTTGACAGAATTTTCTGCAACTGCGGAAAATCGAATGTGTCATCCAGCAAACGTGTCTATTGTCAACTACAGGGAGATGCAGACTGAAACTGGGTCTCAAAGACACCACGTACCTCAAAGGTACCCTCCAGAAGTCCCCATCAACCTCTGTCACCTTAACAATGTCAATGTATTTTAACACACATTCTTCTTTTGAAATGACTCCAACACTTAAAATTCAATTACAATATATTCTGTCCAAGCAATTTGTACCTATATTTAAACATTTCTTCTACATTTATACCCAGTGTTTTGTTTAAAGCAAACATTTACCACTTTCAACTCTGAATATAATGATAGCAGAAAATGTTGGAGGTTTCTTAGTAAGTTTTAATCCAACACCACATAATTCTTCCTTCAGAATACGAACTATCTCTATCCCAATGCACGTGTGGCATTTAAGACATATAGTCCTAAGCCTTGGCTGATGATGGCCCTTCACTGTGACGTGCATCCAGTGGACACACGTCAGCTGAATGGAATATTTGAAAAGTGGATGGCTACTCACAAGGTTTTCTTAGCGAGGATTTTTACTTCGGAGTATATTCATGTCTTGAAGTAGCCTATACCAATGACTTTCTAAATATGCTATAAAACGTCACTTTTTACACAGGGTTTGGTGAACAGTGAAAAAAAAAAAATGTATCCACAAGCATCATTTCTACTCTTTTTCTCGTTTTGCTGTCTTCTTGTCACAGTAATGCTATCACAAATCTGGCTGTCAAGGTCAATATATCACTGTATTGATCATATCTTAGTATCAATATTATGCTTGTTACCTACTGAATTGCTATTACAGTGCAGAAGACAATTTATATTGAGGCTGTGGAAAACATTTCTTTTTGAAGCAAATTTTAACTTCCAGTTTTGTGTCCACTTCCATGTAATAGTACAATCACGTTTGATCACAACCTGTTGCCACCCATAGTCGAATGCTTTCCTAACCGGGAGAGTCACGAAAGAGCATATATCACAAAAGCAGGCAAAAAACATTCACTGTTTGATTTCAATCAGGTTTTGCCATACTTGAATTACGTGGATCAGCATATCAGTCACAAAATATTGCTTTCTGATCTTTTTTTAATCTTCAAACAACTTTTAAAAAAAGCTTGCCATGATATATGAAATTAATATATAATATGATATAATAAAGAAGAAAATGCCAACGATGACAATTACAGGATTCAGTTTTCTAACGGACTTCAACTTGCTTCATCAAACCACTCAAGAAAAGAACCTTGTAGCACATAATTATCTGCAACAAGGAGTCTCTCTGGATTCCAGTGGTCAGAATTCACATTCATTGCACTGCCGTTGGATTGCCAGAAATGTAATGGACAGGAGAAATTAAATATCTGCTCTCTTCATTCCATTCCCACAATCGACTAAGGCAACAGCAGACATGTTTGAACTGTAGTAGAGTGCAATGATGTGTAGAATTGAATGGACACAAGCTATTCATTAACTTTATGAAAAACAAGGAACTCAAACACATTTAATATTATTTCTTATTTCAAATGCCTTAATTAAGCCACTAACTTCAATTGAAGAGATGTAATCAACCAGCGTGCACAATCCTCTAAATACTCACACAGCATACTGAGCCTTTCATTCTTCCCTGAAATTTTCATGAGAAAGCACTGAGAATAAGACAACAGGAGCACGAAGAAAATCAAGATTTAGAACTGATACATATACTCTATATTGTATTTGTATTGCAGTTTACCTGGGACGAAAACGTACAGACCAGGAAGTCTGCCTGAGACAAGAAGTGAATATCCAGAATAACACCTCGGAGGGAGTTTTCAGTGTACCGGTTATGAAGTCCTGCTGACCAGGATATGGAGTTATCACTGATAAATTCGTAATTTGGATACCTGGGAAAATACGATATACTGTTAAGAGTAAAGTCTTATTCTTTTTTTTGCTTTCTTTTTTTTTTTTTTAAGAAGCATCATCTTTGCTGCAAGACAAGGTTGTTAATTTGGTTTAAGCAAGTCTCTGCTTTACAGGGAACGAATTGTAATTTTGCTGAACGCTCTAGAATGTTACTGCTGCCTCAAAGCACGACCTCTCTTTATCCAGAAAAAAAGAAAACTATATAACACGATGCTGTTAGTCTATCTGAAATCCAACATTGTAAAAGAATATCAGGAAGTATATGCCACATTCTGCTAACGCTACTGATTTTAGACAACATATACTCAGATCACTTCACTTTCCCTGCTGCTAAATAGAATGTGGGATTGTGTCTTTACTAGACTACATTTTGTTTATTATCACACTCTTCATTAGATCCTGATAACGACACTGCATAAAAATCAGTCACCTGTAAATAGGACAAATTAATAAATTACTCTAAACTAACAAAAAAAATTAATCAAAAAGTCTTTCACAGTTATTAAGGTTGCATGGAGAACAAATTCTGCAATTCACTGGACAAAAGGAAATAAAAGAAATGTAAAATTTTATGTCGATACATCTTTCTTGACATATTATAAAAATATAGTAATGCTTTAAGTCAAAATATTTTTATTTGAAACATAAAACCTCATTTTATATTAATTTAAACATATATTTAAAACTTTTTAACCTGTAACAATGACTTTCAAAGAAAAAATCCTTTTTAAAAACGTTGAAAAAGAATAGTCTTTGTCAAAACATTTGTACCCTTTTACTAGGGAACTGAAATCTGAAATAAACTGCAAAAAGCAGCACAAATTAATTTAATTTTCAGTTAGGCTCCTACCAAAATATGTTTTATTCAAGAAATTCCAGGTAGAGGTAACAAAGATGGTAATTATGCTGCTCTTACACAATAATTATATTTCAATCATTAAGTGCAACTCATGCGACTAATGTGCCAACTAATGATAAACTAATTTAAATAAAATCTATTTTTCAGATTTACAACATCATAGCAATTAGAAAGCAATATAATACATAAGATACAAATGTAATATTGGCTGCCTTTTTAAGAATTAATCATTCTTACAGTGCTTAATAAAGAAAATCAGGATATAGAGCAGGTCGTAAGGGCCAGAACATCAATAACTCCAACGCGTACGTAGATGCTTCAAAGCCTGACAGTTGGAAAGTTACTGAAGTTACAAGCACTTGTACGCAACAACACAGCACGGGCATACACTCTGGACACGTGGTAGACATGATTATGACAACTTCTGGTAAGAATATGCCTCATTTATTCCATTTTCATGCAAAAACTGTGGGAAAACTGTTTTCAAAAGTGAAATGGCAAATATAGCAGGCTTGTCCATCCAACGTTCACTAGCCGTGACCACCAAATCAGGAAATTTATCTCAAGAGCGAATCAAAAAGCCATATGCAAGAATTCCACATTTAAGGAAAAATTTTGATTTATCTTCATAGTGATTTTAATATAATTCTATGTTCCCAAGAGGAACACCTGCTCTAACAAAAAATAATATATGTATGGTAAATTTCCCAGAGATAGTGTGACAACTTTCAAGGGTACATTTGATCACGAATGTCAGGGGAAGTTCATGTCACATTAAAAATAATACAAAACAAAACAAACAAAAAAAAAAGGAAGAAAAGGTGGAAATATTATTCATTTGGAACAACTGCTAAGATATCTGAGAAATTATAGAAGCATACACATCAAAGAATAGTTTTTTCAAGATGAACTATCACAATGATAAGAAAGAAAATTATCTACTCATGTCTAACGTTTTTTGTCAACGCAACAGATGACACCACAACATTTGTGATACATTCTGTTTCCATTGTGTGAATGATATTAGTAATTTAAAAAAAAAAAAATAAATGTACAGACTAACAGGAAATATATGAAAACTACCTGAGGAACAAAGATGGGCATCAGCCTTATTTCAGCGACACAACTCCAAGGGGAGCAACATGAAGAACGTTTAATAGATGTCATTTCTAGGGACAGTGAACATAGCAGACATATATTCACACACCCTTTTGCAAGTTCTTGGCATCAGGAATACTGCTAAAATTAATCACTTCATTCAGACTTCAAAAATCAGAATCCACGTGCTAAGTACAGACAGAAGACCCTTTCTTGAAGAATCTGATTTTTTACTAGCAAAAGATCAATCTAATACCTTAACAAATGAAGCACGCTGAAAAAGTGTCATATTTGATCTGGTAAAAAACAAAACCAAAACATTTACACATCTTAAGCACACATGTAAAGCTTTCTCCTTCCTCCTTTTATTCTGGAAATAGTCTTTGAGATGCATTTAAATCCGTTCTTCAATTGCATTCTGTAAAGTCGATCCAAATTCACTTAACTAACATTTTCAGAACCCATGTCTTCAAACCAGTGATCCCAGCTTAGCATTTATCTACTCACATGTTTAAGTTTTCAGACAGCACTTTCGTGGTGTCCTACACACACGACGTTAGATTCATGCTTGGGAAAAGAGGTTTCTTTTAAACACCCTAAAACGTGAGTATAATAGCAGCCATGCTCAGTGTGACCAAAGAATTTTCTAGTCCACTGTCCCATCGCCAACACGGGCTGAAAGCAGAGCACAAAGGAAAAGGCCAAGTCTATTCTCCTCTCAAGCTTGGCCGTACGTGGCCCACTGACTTCCTGCACGAAGCGAGGTTTAATCCTCCTTCCCACTCACTACAGTGCTTTAGATCCTATTTAAAGCTATTCTTACCACAATGGCTACAAAGGATAAAGGAAATGCAAGTTCTAAAGCTCTATAGTTAGCTCTTACTTCCTTCTATGCCCTTTTCCATCTGTATTTCTATTATCATTAATGTAATGCTTGCATTGTAAGCTTTTGGAGAATTTTTTTTTTCTTTTTAAGCAGAACTCGGGCACAATCCTATTGCTAGGATTCCTGAATATGTGGTAAATGAATAATAAATAATAAGATGTCATATTCCTACTGACAGAATCACCTAAATACAGTATTTTGTAAGATCCCTCCTAGATTTCCGAAGAAATTACCCACACATTCTCTTCTCTATAACAGGAAAGGACCAGACTGTGAAGATAAAACCAAAGAATGGAAACTGGCATAATACTTTTTTCTTTGTATCAGACTCCATATAGAGAGTACATCTCCTCCACGTATCTAAAAATAATATCTAATTCTTCTAAAGCTACCTAATAGATTCTTGAAGTCTATACACAGGCCAGGAAGGAAAAGAGGAAAAGAAGAAATCAGAAGAAGACAGGGAAGAGATAATTTAAAATCTTTCCTTCCTGCACCTACCAGCCTCAAACCCAAGCACAGTTATGAGACTATTTTAAGTTCCAACAGGTTTCAGAAGCTGACCAACTAGCTGTTACTATGGCTTATCGCTACGCCGTGCGGCAGGTGCAAACCAAAACCAGTCCAGGCTCTTGTTCCCAATTCGCCAGGACTGGGGAAGTGTCCAGAACAGGCAATGCAAGTTTTCTTCCCTCTGAAAGAAGAGGGTGAGCATGTGTGCGAACAGATAGAGTAACAAATAATGTGTTTGTTCAGGTCTTGCTCCAAAAAGAACTGGAAAATATATGAGCTGTTCATCAGACTCCAGAACTTCGAAGCACTACAGAATTCTATATATCAGGCATGCTGTAACTCCGGGGCAGGGCAGGTTGCAACAGCTAAACTATAGATAGTACATTGGCAGAAAAGACATTAATTTGCTATTGTGGAAATAAATAAGCAGCAAAATACGCAGGGAAAAAAGCTTTCATGAGTGCCGAGAGAAACAGCAAAAAAAATGAAAAAGCAAAATACAGGTGATTTTACAGGGAAACATCCTGAAAGGAAGAATGTAATTTATTGTGTTTTAGTGCTTATATGCATCAGAGAGAGACCTAAATAGATTCACATATAAACCAGAAAGGTATTAAATAGAGTTTCTCAAGAATTTATGTGCATGTTCAGCCGCATTATTTTGAACACTCTACCTTAAAGAGAGGAGATGTTTCAATACTATTATAATCTAGAAATTCAAAAGTTTGGATTTCAAAGCTATTGTATCAGCTGAAAAACAAGTGACTTACACCGTCCCTAACACACCACTTAGATAAGACAACTACCTTGACCTCTGCCTACCAGAAGCTGTCACGTGCTTTAATCCCACAATCACCACAGCTGTTGAACCGTGCTCCTCTATAATCATGTTGTTCGATATCATCCTAATTCTGAAAATATATCACTTCTTTCTTTCTTTTGGAAGATAAATCAGACAAAAACACTACAGACTGACAGCACTGACTCCGCTGTTTTTAATGCTGTACTTGCAGTTGGCAGACATCTGACTGCAAGGGAAGCTTCTGAAACTTAAGTCAAAACATTTCTGGTTTTGTGACTATGAATAGTTTCAAATATTTCTCTTAATAGAAGCAACATGCCTATTCGTGTGAATGTTGGCTAAATTTTCATATTTAAATGTCAACATAGTTTGACAGCCATCACTCCCATGTAAAGAGAGTTACAATACCTAGTACTTACCAGTACTACTGCACCCAGTAGTGAATGCAACACAAGCTTCTGCAGTACAACGTGACAGCTGTTTCTATCAAAGCTTGGTAGTTCAATGTCACTAGAACTTTTTTGTCAGAAGCGTAAACTAATTTGTAGTTTTCTTCACAAGAAGAAGAAAAGGTTCTTTGTTCTCCAAACCTGACCTTAAGCTGCCTTCATATGCCTTTAAATGCTGAAACATCGAATTGCATCCTGCCTTCTACGAAATCACAGCAAGTTTCAAATGCCTTCTACTCGACTGCAAGCAGCAGTAGGGTGCAAGCAACTTAGGAAATTATGTCTCAGAGCAAAAAATGACCTGAAAACTCAGCAGCAACAGTTAAAAAATTCTTCACTAACGGATTCTATTGCTTTTATCGAGAAAACAT